TTAGCTTTTTATTTATTTCTTTATTTCTTGTTTGTTTTATCATTGCAGGTTCATCCACTGCACAAGCGACTAAAAGGGAGGAGCACTTACATGTGACTGAAAGAGAGGAGCAGTTACAAGCACCTACATTCACTGATCTTTTGGTTTCAAACTCAGCCGGCATGACAGGTCGGTTAATCTAAAAGTTTTTGTTTTGTGTTGGCTTTACAATAACATTTTCTGCTATGTTATTTTATTCTTTTTTATTTAATCTATTGTCCCTACAGGTCCTTCTACATCTGCACCCACTGCTATAGATTTCCCATCCACTGCCTCAACAAGCTCCAGCTATCAGAATAGATCAACAGCTCCTCCAATTGACCCAGTTGAATGGTCAGCACTCCTCTCAGATTTAGAAAGGACTGATCTGGTAAGAAGAGGGCCAGTGCCCATCAGTGACACCTCTTCATTCCCCAAGACATCAGATGGACGAAGCTTTCACTACCACTATACATACAATTAGTTAATGGGGAAAAAAAAATCAAGCAAAGCTGGCTAATTTATTCAAAGAAAAGTGAACCTTATTTAAGTATCTGTTTTTGTAACATTCTATTTTTGATATTAATGTTTGTCTATTTTGGTTTTATTTATTATATAATATTGCACATTTGCAAATAATTTATTAAATGTTTGTATTCAAAAGGTTTATTTGGTTCATTTGTGTCAGTAATGCCACTGTCATCAAACCTTTACCAGCTCTGCTGTATGTAATTTATGGTCTGGATATAGTTTGAACATTTTAAGAAGCTTCATATCAACCCCATACTGCCCCCTGCTTGTCATTCCAGTAAAGAGGTAACGGTGTGTAGTCACCTCTGCGGTGTTGCCAGGCAGGTTGGACATGCAGAGCTCCGAGCTGCTGCTCTCATCATCAGCTGACTCTGCATCTATCGACAGATTTAAACAGATTCAATACAGTCGTTTAACTTTGGATGTTTTGTGCTTTATAAACTAACTTTGATTGTCGGCCACGTCTGAATTCGGACCGTTCTCTGCTGCAAGTTCTTGGAGATTCAGCTCCTCTTTAGCGTCGAACCAAATATCATCGGTGCCGGGCTCCTCAGAGGCTGCAGGATAGACAATGAAGATGAGTCATCATTTATGGTTTATGAGGCGATTCAAAAGCCGCTCACCTGTTTGCTTAATGAGTCCATCATTGGCCAGATCAGCAGCTTCTTCGCTTTCGTCTTGCGTCTTTTTAAGGAAAAGCAGAGTCAGCGATGGCTGCTGCACAGAATATGTTCTTTGATTCAACTCAATTCAGTTTATTTCTATAGNTCATCTGTCCATCATCGTATAAAGCCCGCCCTGACAATTTGATTGGATCGCCAGATATTGTGCGAGCATACTTGCGCTACTGTTTAGCAATGCCAGACCGAACTTCCCGACCTCAAACGTTGTGGGCGGGACCAAGTTCGCAATGGCACCCAGGCTAACGTATATCCGCCCTGGGGCGCAAAAATCTCGTTAAAAGTTGTACATTCGCAGTAGGTCCTCTGCAATACAAACGCAGAGGAGCGCAGGAAGTTTATTTGCTCATCAGCTCCCGCCACAGCGCAGACGCTTTGCGACTGATTGACAGGTCGAGTCGCGGGATTTGGAGACGCATTGGAGAGAGAAATGGTGCTAGAAACGTCTTTTTCCAGGACCTGGTTTAGCTCCAAGGGTAGGCTAACTGCCTGCAGCGAGGCTAAAGCTTTATCCTGCTTTCCCTGCCTCCTTTTTCAAATATCAGGATCTGAGCCAGCATGGATAAAGACAGCTAGGACTGATTTAAAGCACTTTTTAGAAAAGGCAAAGAAGAATGAACAATCTGGGATTCACATGGAAAATAATAGAATATAATCTACTTTTTCAGGGAGTTTGTTCATTTGCATAGTTGCTCTTAAAAAAACACACTGAGAAAATAGTTTTCATACATTAAAAAAATATAAAGCTGACTAACAGCTTCTCCATTATTTAACTGGTACATTATTTTTTTAGGTTTGTGACACAATATTGGACCATGCAAAACACACTAGTGTGATGACCAAGAATACATTTGATTGGTTTACGGCAGGGATGTCAAACTGGATCCAGAAAGGGCCGTGTGGTTGCAGGTTTTCTTTCCAACCACCAATAGCACCAGACTCCAGTCATCTCATCAAGTGAGTTCAGCATTAACATGATGACATGATGATTGACTGGAGTCTGGTGCTATTGCTTGGTTGGAAAGAAAACCTGCAGCCACACGGCCCTTTCTGGAACCAGTTTGACACCCCTGGTTTACGGTATACGTCTATTTTGAATTAATAGCCCCCCCATAGAAAATGTTACCAGCTGCCACTGTCATCAAACCTTTACCAGCTCTGCTGTATGTAATTTATGGTCTGGATATAGTTTGAACGTTTTAAGAAGCTTCAGATCAACCCCATA